GTATATACAAAAGTTTTATTTTATTTATTTAGTGTAGAACCCGAATCTGTGTATAATAAAAAATATCAGGTTCCATTAAAAAAAAATTGATTTTCGATCTGAATAATCTATTTTTATTCGGATATTCGGAAGTTGAAAAGAAAACATCACCATTCGATAGAGTGTAAGTATCCGATTTATTCATCAAAATTCGTTTTTTCATCAAAGTTCGTTTTTTAATAAATTTTTAATAAAAATCATTTCGTTTTTAAATGAGCATGGTTTGGGACATCCTATACGAAATACGTAAATAATTTAATTAAATTTGACATTCAACGCGTGAACGTTTGTATTTCTTTCAGTGATATGCTAGAACAAATGTTACGTCAAGATAGTATAACGTTCGTTGTTTTGAAGATCACAATCGATAATATTATCAATATTAATAAATATTGACAATATTACTGATGTATGTGGCTAATATTGATGAATTGACGTAGAATACATCCTGATAGTAGTTTGGATTTTGATTCTCGAGCATCAGTATTGTTTTATTAGGATCCATGTCACAGTATGTCAGTAATAGATATACGGAATGTATGTAAAATTAAAGTAAAATATATTCATACGTCAATAACATATTGTATAAGGTTGTAAAAATATTAAAAATATTGATGCATACTGTCAGTATTACTGATCACTAGAGGAAAGTCGCCGATATAGATCTCCTAAAGTGAACCTTCTTTTCAGAAACTAACTATTGTACTTTATTAATACTAATAAAAACGTGATCCGTTTAGTTAATTAAGAAAATGTAAATGCATAATTCGTATATGGCTTGTTTTCTATACGAAATCAGTTAAAAATTCTATGAATGCGAAAATAAAATTCTTATTTTCTTTTACAAATTGCATAATTTAAATAATAGTAATATTATTAATAATATTACGTCGTTTTAAATGCTTGTAGTTTTCTAAATCAATTTTATTTATATTATTTCTTTCTTAATTTTTTCATAATACGATTTTAAATATAAAATCGAGGGATGCAACATAAACTGGCACACCTGTCTGTAAAATAAATCATGAACTAATTAAATAAATTAACTTTGTTGCTTTACTAATGTTGCTTTATAGTATCAAATAACTCTATATTTTCTCTAATTCAGAGTTGAAGGCAACGATACATATACGGGAAAGCCTTTGAAAAATTATCACTATATATTTGCATTTTGCAGAACAGCATAAAGTAAATACACATATAATATGCATTCAATAAAAATGTTTTATATCGAAGTGAAAAGATCTGAAAAATCTTATAAATATCATTCGCTTGTATTTTATACAGATAATTTCTGTAAAAGAAAAAGAATAGGAATATGTAGCATTACTGTCCACTGTGTCACTTTTGGAATCTATTTTGTCAGACGCTCATTTTTGCTTATCTTAGGAAAAAATTAATTATTGCCAAATTACAAACAGTATTATAAAAATTGCTTATATTGTCCGATAGAAGACACTTTTTAATATGTATTTAAAGTTTTATTTTTACCTTTTGTTTAAGAAATATCTAAAAACAAAGTGGTAGGTCGCTCGCATAACGGCGGTCTTAGCGTGTATTAGTAAAAGCTGATGGAAACGAGCGTTATCATTTCATTTGAACGTAACTAACCGGCCTAATTAAAAGAAAGACGAACCAGCAGCGTCTCGATACATTGCTCTTTCATTTCGATTTCTTCATCCCTTCATTTCATTTTATTTAGATTTCCGTTTCGTGCACGCAGAGGTATATTGCGAGGTTTTCCCTTGCAATATTATCGCGTCCTGGTTTGCGTAATTATTGCTACGATGATTGGACAAGACACGAACGTCTCGTCCCGTCCGCCGAACATGTCGCAAATTCTTTTTTTTAGGGCGATAACATATGGCTTATTATTTTGTATCGGATACGTATATGAAAGGGGAACGTAATGGCGTGTTGTTGTCGCTGGTAAAGATTATGGGCGCCATGGGTACACGCCCAATGCGAATGACGCCCACAGTATCGAGGGCTAGTCTCGCTGTCTCGCTGTCACACATGACTGAACGAATAAAAACGTGATATTAAATTAACAATGTGGTTGAAGGGTTCGACAGTTTCTGGAGTTCAATTTTAATTCTTACAATATAATATAATATAGTTTCCCTCAATCTCACTACTTTTTAATATTCAACATAAATTGAATCACCTCCTAAAGTATTAAAAATTAATCAATAAAAGATTCGTTGTTTAAATTACGTTATTTTACAATCAAAATGAAGAGAGACATTTGATCAAAGCTGCAATTTTTTTTATATGTGTTTTTACTAATTTGGCAAACTACATTCGGCGATTGCTTGCCGATCTTGAAACGGAATTCTAAATTAAAGCTAGAATAGTAATATCATAAGATTGATAATCAATTTAATAATAATTCAAAAAGAAAAATCGAATAAACAGGCAATTGGGAATTGGCGCTATAGACGGTGCGCAGTTTTGTTTCTTTAAAGTAATTCTATATTATATCATTACTTGTACATGTTTCGGCTAATCTACCTTTTAATCTTCTTCAGCAAAAATTTCAGTAAATGGTACAAAAATTTTTACTGAAGAAGGCTAAAAGATTAACTGAAACATATACAGTGCCAATTCCCAATTGCCTGTTATTCAATTTTTCTTTTTGAATTGTTATTTTAGGAATTTAGTTCGTAATTTATTTATCAATTTAATAATAATAATGCTAATATATAAATACTCTAAACTTTACAAAGAATTCAATAAATCATTATTTAAGATAATTAATTCGGTAAAGTGTTTTCTCTTTCCTCTTGAGAATCCCTGTTTCTAGATTTGAACAATGTGCTTTTTTCTAAAGCAATTTCGAATGCATCGAACGCATCCGCGGAACGTCGTCGCCGCGTGCGAGTAATACAAGCTCCAAGCTTGTGACTCATCGCTGCTGTTAGCGTGCCACATAGAGGCGTATACATTTAGGGCCTCAAAGCCTCGTAATTGCATAGGTACACGACGTTTCTGCCTACCCTTTGTTCGGTGTCCTTCGTTCAGCCAGTCATCTTCGTTGTCTTTCTTTCTCTCCTCGCTGTGTCTCTTTTTTTTTCTCTTTCTCTCTTTATTTCCTGACAAACTCGCTGCTGCACGCGGCGCGCAGGAAAGGCTTCTAACGTACACGCGTTACGTACATACACGTGGGGATGGATGAGGAAATGACGCCGACAATTTGTGGCGCGACGTCCGCGAATTCGTGGAATTTGCGATCAGTAAGCGATTTACTCAACTTCGCAGTTGAGTTATAAAAAAAACATTTGTTCATTTTGTACAATTTTATGTCAATATTTACAATTTATTAATGTAATATTTTCTGATGTATTTATCACTCATGTAAAAGAATATTTAATGTTTAATTGTTCTTAATTAAATTGTATTTTGCCTATAAAAATTGCTAATAGCGTAATGCAATATAGTACGTTGTAATTATAATGATTTTAGGCGAGAATATATAGCATTAATTTTATTACTCACTAGAAATTGACTAATGAAATTATAAATATTCCAATAAATTCGTTCACTTTTGTAATTTTCATTTCGTTTCAAGATACACAATTGACCCCCTGATTCGATCGACACCACTACATTAATCCACAATTGAATTCATTGTAATGAAATTAATAGTCAAATTAAACTTGCACTACTTAATAATTTTTTAATGTGTCACATCATCGTAAGCATGTTTCAGAAGTGATTTAAACGGAGATATATCTTTAATTATCACATTATTTTCCTGCTTAGAAAAAAAAAGAAACTATATCGCAGCTGCGTCGTAGAGAAATATTAATTTCTTATCATTGATAATATAAGCTTAATCGAACAAAATCGGAGTAGATTTGTGGTTATAAACCGGAACATTAAGGAAATAGACTGACCACTCCGAAAGTGGATTGAAATGTATTTTTAAAGAACCGCGAGATTTTGCACAGAAAAAGAAGAACAAGAATACACGGCGACACGGTCGGAAAGATAAATATAACCGCTGTCGCTGGCCCGATTTTAGCGTGTATTCCCAGGAGAAAATTACCTGGTGTCCGTGACTGACGATGAGCCTAAGGGCAGAGCCTCAGCAGCTATTTGCTGGCTGACCTGCAAGAGTTTAAGGTCCAGTTGCACACTCTGGCTCCCGCGAAGTCGCATCCGTTGCGATACACCTGCCTCGGTTTATTTGCACGCAACTTTATTCTTCGTGTCAACAATTTCTCCCCTTTTTTTTCTTAAGAAAATTCTCTTTCCTTTTTTTTGCTAAACTTATATATAAGGAGGGATAAGTTGATAAATCAACTTCCGTTTATATTTAAAAAAAATTATATTATTGTCGCGTGAAAATAAATTAATTTAAAAAATTTTTTAAGCTACTCGAGCCATTGCGTATATAAAATTTTAAGCACGATAAATCCTTTCTATTTGTCATACTGCCCACTTGAGCTAATTCAAATCAATACATTACAATCCATGCAAGTGAGAAACACCCGTTGAGTGAGAGGATTTCCTGAATCTTATCCAAAATTTCATGCCGCAACTACAAGGCTTAAGACTCGTCTGTACGTAGTTGTACTTGAAGAGCCGCATCGCGCCGCCTTTCTTCCCTTCTCTCTCGTTTTTCTCTTTCTCTCGAGTCGCACCTCGCTGCCGATCCACCATCAGTATTTCATGATCGTGCACAACCAGCAGCAGGCGATCGACCGAGCGTAGCACACACGACGTTACTCTCTCTTTATCTCTCTTTACGCCGACCCTCTCGCGCGGTGCGAGTTTCTCGACTTTTCGGAGGTGGCGCCTCTACTTCGCGCTCGCGGCGCACAACGTCTTTCTTCCCGCGGGGCCTCACTCGCGCCGTCTCGCTCTCTCACCTGCGTTCTGTTCTCTATATCTCGTTCCGTTTCTCTCTCTCTATATCTCTCTCTTCTCTCTCTCTCTATATATCTCTCTCTTCTCTCTCTCTCTATATATCTCTCTCTTCTTTCTCTCTTCCCCTGCACTCGTGCGACGCGCCGAATCACACAAACGGAAGAAGCGCGACAGCGCGTTGTGCGTGACCCAACCCAACTTGACAGTTGACCCGTGTCATTCACACTCGCGCGTGTGCCGGTACAAATTTTCTTGTGAATTTCATCGTTTTCCTTGGAAGGAAACGGTTTTCACGCGACAGATCTCCGCTCCGGTGTGCTTCGAGGTTATCGACTGTTATCGAGCGAACAGCGGTTAGTTCGGGAGAAGGAAAATGTGGGCCGGTCAGGACGACACGCAGAGATTTAAGACCAGGTGCGTTTCTCTTCCACTCGAATTTACGCGTGTACTCGCGAGAGCGTTAGCTGCTTTTCCGCTCGATTTTTTTTTTTTTACAATTGTTGCCGACATAAATCTAGCCTCGTGTCTTTTCTCGGACAACCTCGATATCGAGTGCGATATCGAGAGTTATCGAGTGTATTGTTCGTTGTTCGTTTCACTTTTCAGCAAAAAATTTCTGAATAAAAATTTATATTTTAACACTGAGTAAGATTCTTTATAAATTAAAGTGCCTTAATAATATTTTATGAAAAATTAGAGTTGATCCATGAAAAAAAAAATTTCTTTTGTAAGTAAAATAATTTTTTGCTGATGTAAATCTTGTTTTAGTAAATAATTTGATTTTATTATTTTTTAATTGTATTCTTTTATAGCATAGCACCGAGCAACTCGCGTTTAACAAAGAGTGTGTGAAACATGCACATGCAAGTTCCGTTTCGATTATGTTTCCTTTTCTGTTTCTCTCTATCTTTTTCTACCTTACATCGACTACATTGACTATCACTGCAGTTGCATGACAATCGAATTGCAATTTTAATAATACAGTGTCGATACATATCTTTCCAGGAAAACTAATTATTTAATTTTTGCAATTGTCACGATTATACATATCGCAGTGAGTCACGCATCAAAGTTTAAGAGTATCTACAGTAGCGAACAAAAAAAATTCGATTTGTATTTTTCGTTATATTTCGTTTTTTTAACAAAGATATCATCTTTCGATATATTATTCAAAAACGTACAAGCATACTAAGAAGATTTAATTGTGAAAAACATAAAGTGAAATTATTATAAAAACTTGTTTTTTTTTTTAAGTTTTATATTTAACTAATTTTTATTCTTTTTTTATTTTTTTTTATTATTATTTTATTATGTGTATACAGAAACTTAAATCGATTACAGAGAAGCTATTATATGTATAAAAATACGTATTATAAATACTTACAATGTTAGTTTCAGGCTATCATGAGCTTTAATCACAGTGTTATATCTGTGTATTATCAATTAATTTGTCTATCACAGAGTGAAAAAAATATTAAAATAGCTTCAAAAATATGAACCTACTGAGTATGTTCAATTTTATATTACGAAAATTGCTTTAAAATATTCCAGCTATAATATGGTAAAACCGGCTAATACGCCTCAATAGGAAATATGCCTTAGTATAAATATAAAAAAGGCAATTCTTTTGAATAATTTGTCTATACTGATATACTGATAGGATGCTAGATATGTTCTACAAATCCACAGATAAATTACGTGTCAAATTTTATATCGAAAAAAAAAGAAAAAAAAGAAAAATAGGAAATTTTTGACGTAGGAAATTGAACTTATTGCGGCAAGTTTTTTTAAGTATAATATAATGTATAAAAGTATTTTTTTGCAAGATCCAGTATCCAACTTTTTTTACTATCTTGATAGCCGGATATTATTAGTAATCTAGCAATATATATTGTATATCCGGCCGAAATTTTATATTGAAAGTTTGTATCATTGATGTAAAATTCTATTCTTTTCAGCTGAACTTCTTGCACTTTTTGCATTTTATTATATCTGTTCCTTTTTTATCACATTGGGGAGATAAGAAAATTATTATCGCTATTTTTCTTTTTTTCCTTTTTTTTTAAATATGAAAAAATATCCAGAAAATATCTAGTATCCGATCAGATAATTAGCTTATATCGGATATCACATTCTTTCCGAATATCCATTATCTGGTATCCGGCAATTACACGATTTAACATATTCGTAGTTAATACTATGAAATATAACTTACAAGATGCAATCACTCTTTGCTATTAGTTTGTAATGTTTAATACTTATTATAGTGTAGTATTAATATATATTACAGTGAGGCATATTTACCTTGAAAATTTAAGAACATTCCACTCCTATAAGGGAAATTTATCACGATAAATAAATATATTAAATAAATAAAGACATAAATGTTATACATAGCAATGTTTTGTTTCTTTATTACAGAAAGAACGATTTTATTAAAGTATTACAAAATTTAAAAGTAGTACAATTTCACACAATATAATTTTGTTAATTGACAATAAATGACAAGAAGAGGCTACAAGTCAGATTTTTATATATTTCAGATTTTTAGAACATACATTTCGATCTTATTATTAGGTCATCCTCAGTATAAAGAAATTAAACGCAAATCCGACAAAATTAATAAAACGGTTAAGTACAAATATATAATTTATAGTTATGCAAAAAAATTGGTAATGTTTCTTCAAATCTATCTTCCGTAACAATGCAATGCTTTTTATTCTGATAATATTATCGGTTATATTCTTCCATTATAACAGTCACAATAAGTCCATAATGATAAAAATATTGAACAAGATGAGTCATTAAATAAAAATGTATCAGCACACATTTTTAACTGCGATTGGTAAATCAGAATGTAATCAGTAATTGAAACAATAAGTCAATTTAATTCGCAAGAAGCAAATGCGATCAGAGATAAAAAAAAATTGAAATCAGTTCAAATTGCTTGTATGTGTACAGGAGAGAGAGAGAGAGAGAGAGAGAGAGAGCGAGAGAGAGAGAGAGAGAGAGAGAGAGAGAGAGAGAGAAATTAAATATTAATTTTAGTTTGTCGAAATATAAGAAATCTCTTAACAAACCCCTATTAGATTATAAGATAATTGGACTTATATATGACTTTTTTAAGCTTTACGATTTTTTCTTATTTTTTGCTAAATCCAAAATTAAAAATCAACAATCAGATTTAAAAATAGAATTTCTGAACAGTAAAAAAATATGAGACATTTTCAAATATTTCCATGAGTAAAAAGATTTTTAAAAAGTATCATTAAGTATCTAAAAAGTATCATTTGTACCCAATATGATCTAATATGTAGGTATATATACTTTTCTCTTTTTTAATAAAATGAGAAATTAGAGAAATAGAAAACCAAGTGATCATAATGTTACTTTTAGTAATAATATAAGTTTATAATATAATATATTGAATGACATGTTTATTTACTAAGAATACACGAAGAACTATTTTTCAAACACAATTGATTTATCTACTCATTCACTTGTCTACTTACCTTCTTACTTCCACTTGGTAGAAGAATTAGAATCCATTGTCTGAACAATGGACTCTAACAAAAATATTAAAAAAACATTACAATTGAGGTGTATACTCAGAATACAGGTTCTAGGTTAGTTATATTGATTATTACAAAGAATTTCCTTTTTTTGGTTATAAACTTTGATATAAACTATATACACCGTTAGAAAATATAATATAATTTTTGGAAAATACAGAAAAATCAGTATTTTTTACTGCAAATCAAAATAAATAGTTTGAATTTGAATATTTCTTATAATGATGTCTAGGGATTTGTTGTTCACTGAATCTTAATCTAAGGTCAAAATTTTAAATTTTTAAAATCCAAAAAGACAGGATCGTGTGATAGATTAAAAATGAGAAAATTGTATATTTTAAAAGTTAAGATGAAATCCACAGATTACCTCAGTAAGTAATTTAAGACTCTAGCTTCGAGTCTTGAATTATATATTGCCTAAGATATCATGAGCCAATTAAAGAGTCGTATTAACTTAAGATATTACTTTAGATGGTCTTGAAATTATGAACGGATTATGCATACCGTTCCTTAGTTTCTGAATATTTTTATCACTGCCTCTGAATCTAAAGTTATTAAAATCTGTTCTTTATTAAATAATTTATTTTTATAAATAATGAAATACTAAATATTTTATTAAAAGTTATTATATTGATATATTAAATCGCTATAGTAAATCGGCCATTGAATTTTACTTCTAATTTGTAATCAATCACTCAAAAAATTCTCGGGTTCAAAGTATCAAAAAAATCGGTCTCGCATAAAAATTCGTGATACAGAGAGGTTAATTTGATATTTGATAATACAAATCAACATATATATTATTAATATTTCGCAAACTTTTCTTGATAATATTTAAAATGGAAATTGTAATCAATGTCAACCCAGATTACATGCATATATCTAATAGACGTAAAAATATTTTCTAGATATTGTGTGTTGTCTGAGAAAGATGTTAAAAAATACGTAATTAAGTAAGTTTTTAAATAAAATATATTTTAATCCAAGAGATCATTAATTAAATATTCCGTAATTAAAAGATTGTTAATGAAGTTGCTTAACAAAGAAAGGCCTATAAAGCTTGGATTGTCAATTGTCGCATTTAATAGCGGAAGCGGAGGGGACATTCGAGATTCTCTCGCGAGACAAATCCCCTGACCGATTAAGGGCGTCAAGGCGAACGGGAATCGAGTACCAATCCAGTTTCTATTTCTGCGAGACGCCTGAGAATGAGAAAGGCAATTGATCGTGCCGTGCGAAAGTATGCAGCCGTACAAAGGTTAATACCGGCGCAATAAGAACAACATGAAACATTCGCCATGTTTCCACTATCTCGTACTAGTCGCCACGCGTAAAAGTATCATATACCATGAATCTTAGGTGTAGAAATTATGACATTTTCCACACCTGTTTGCTCAACGAAGCATGAGACTAATCTGGAAATCGTGATAAACTGGATGCGAAAGATATCAGTGTCTATATCGAGAAACTGTGAACCACAATTTATGGAATACAAACGAGTCAATTGCAGAGATAACTGATTATGAAAAATAGATGCATCTTTATTGTAAAAGAAATCGGTAATATGTTTAATAATGACGGAAAACATAAGTAAATGTGGAAATGGCTAATATTGTAATGATTGTTACATTTAATTTTTAAAATAAGATTGTACGTGATCTGACAATTATTTAAATACTTTTAAAAAAGGAGAGAGAGAGAGAGAGAGAGAGAGAGAGAGAGAGAGAGAGAGAGAGAAATATTGTCATAAAGATGGAAATGATAGAGATTGTGATTCTATTAACTTAATTTTTTTTAACTCTAAGGGCCGGTTGTTTCATCTTCAGATAAACTACATGATAT